GAGGAATTCTGGGAGTTGATGTCCATGAATGTTTTGGTTTTTTTTTAATTTGATTTATATGCCGCCCTTCTCCGGAGACTCAGGGCGGCTTACAATGCGTTAAGCAATAGCCTTCATACTTTTGTATATTTATACAAAGTCAGTTTATTGCCCCCACAAACTGGGTCCTCAATTTACCTATCTTAGAAAGGATGGAAGGCTGAGTCAACCTTGAGCGTGGTGAGTTTCGAACTTACAGTAATTGCAGACAGCTGGTGTTAATCACAATGCTATCAGTCTGCTGAGCCACCAGGCTCATTTGAATGTTAAAGTTGGCAAGGTTGAGAAACATTGCAATAGGGCAGGGGTATCAAACTCAAGGCCCGGGGCCGAATTTGGCCCACAGGGTGTTTAGATCAGCCCGTGGGGCTGCCCTGGAAACAGCAAAGGACTGGCCCACGGTGTATCTGCCAGCAGAGGCTGGCAGAGGGTTGCAGGAAGCCATCGCAGCCAAAAATGGAGTTTGCGAGAGCTGCGTGCGGCCATCCCGAGCTCAGTGACAGAGAATTACAGGAGGCCGTCCCAGCTGAAAACGAGCCCGTTTTCGCTGGCAGAGCGCTCAGGTCACCACAAGCGCCTCCGACACAAGTGAGGTCGAGCTGGCCACACCCACCCCAGCCACACCCACTCCTCCACCCCACCAGGTCAAATACAACCCTGATGCGGCCCTCAATGAAATCTAGTTTGACACTCCTGCAATATGGGAAGGCTGACTCTCTGAAACTTAGGTGTTAGTTACAGAGCAGATTAATATTACTGCTGAGAGCAGCTAATAGGACTTTATCCTCTTTTGTGGGCATTCTAAAGTCATTGTAGAATCCCATTTAAGTGCCTTCAGAATTCAATCCTTACATCCTCATTTCATCTCACTAGGCCTGTAGTGAGGAAGTACTGGGTGTGATGTCCCTTCTGATGTCATTCTGCAAAACATATTGTGACATCACTGTGTGTCATTGTGATTAATACTTGATATCTATGTTGTTGTCTAGGGTTGGAATGGTGGTAGGGGATTCAAAAATATCAAGATGGCAGCTTTGGACCAAGCTTCATTCATGTAGGTTGCAGATGCTGTTTTGATGCTTTTCAATCACCAGCCTGCAGATACCTCTGGGCTCCATCTAAGAAATTGGACTAAGCAAATGGCTTCACATATTGTGCTAGGTCACTATCTACTTACCCATAGTTTTATTGCAGTTTTCCCCAATCTGGTGCCCTACTATGATGTTAGTCTAATTCTCCCAATCTCCAGCTAGCACACTAGCTAATAATTTTAGAGTTTAGTTAACCATTTCTGGAGATCTGCAAGCTGAGGATATATAATTCAAGGTCTCAGTTCCAATTAGTTTCAACCATGCACCAAGATATAAACCACGATTCATACACCATGATAGATGGATTCACATAACACGCTAAGCCAATACCAAATACACCCCATTATGATTTGGTGCAATAGATGAATGGGCATTGTCTAGGACACGGGTGGGCAACGATGACCCTTTTATGACCTGTGAACTTCAACTCCCAGAATTCCTGAGCCAGCATGGCTCAGGAATTCTGGGAGTTGAAGTCCACAAGTCATAAAGACTCCCTAGTTCCCCACAGCTGGTCTAGGAGCTTTTGAATGGGAATGTATGATCCTGCAGAAAGAGCAATTGCATAGACAAGGGTGTCAAACTCGTGGCATCACATCATCATGTGACACATCGCAACTTTTTTCCCCCCTTCGCTAAGCCGGGGGTGGGCGTGGCCAGCACACGACGCATCTGGGCCATGGGCCATGAGTTTGACACCCCTGGCATAGACAATCAGTATGTGTTTTCCTGTGTAGTATTTTAGTAGGAGGTCCACTCAATATTCATCAAATCTTTAAATTGGCAGGTTGACTGCTTGGGGGGAGTGGGAAAATATTTGCTTATTGTTCTTTTAAAAATATCCTAACATCTCCCAACCCACCTTATAGGATGGGGAAAACTGGAGGAGGAGGGAGTATTTGGTTAGGTTAGGTTAGGTTAGGTTTATTAAATTTGTATACCGCCCTTCTCCCGAAGGACTCAGGGCGGTGAACAGCCAAGATTAAAATACATGCAATATAAAAATTAACATAAATTAAAGCTGAATTAAATCAAATTGGCTCCCCCAAATTTAAAACCCTTTACCCATAAAATAACCCATTAAAATTTTAAGCCAGCCCGGCTTGCTGAAATAGGAAGGTCTTCAAAGCTCGACGGAAAGTACGGAGATCCGGGATCAGTTGTATTCCTGGGGGTAGCTTGTTCCAGAGGGCGGGTGCCCCCACAGAGAAGGCTCTCCCCCTGGGGGTCATCAGTCGGTAGGTATGTATGTTAGGTATGTTCGTCGCCTTGTGTTATTTATAAAAAAAAATAATAAGATGGGGTAAAATAAAAATAAATACAATTGATTCCTGATGATCTATGGACATGCATCTGGGCGGTTTGTTTGCAACAGCGTGGAAGAGCTTTGCCAGCATTTTCCTACAGAATGTTTTTGCAATTTTACAGCCGAGCCCTCAGCTTTGGCAGCCTCCTTTCCAACAATGAACAACGTCCAATTCCGCTGAGCATCAGATCTCAGACAAGGACCCTATCAGATGGCTAAAGCCCACTTCTTAAGATCAGTCAATTCCTCAAAGTTAAGATGGTTCCCTATTTTTGATGGGGAAGGGACAGATGCTGTGGGCTGCATATTTGCTGGATCACTAATGTGTTTTGCATGGGATTTTAATTGAATTGGACAGCTGTGCGAAGAGGTTTTTCCCTTATAAAAAAAGGTAAGCGAGTTGGGGTGGAAATGGGAAGATGTGCTCTAGACGCTGGGCAGTGCTTATATGGAATAATGTGTTCATATGACATGGCATGTCCCAGTGGTGGGTTCAGTCCGGTTCTATAGAACCGTTAGTAAAACTGGCGGGAGGCTCCGCCCACCTGCCACGACATCATCATGGGTGATATGCGCAGAAGCGCACACACACGGTCCCATTGCGAACCGGTAGTAAAGGTAACTAGAATCCACCCCTGGCATGTCTCCCTGGCGGCCCCTAAGGGGAGAGCCTTCTCTGTGGGGGCACCTACCATCTGGAATGAGCTCCCCCCGGAGATACGGAGGATCCCGGATCTGTGCACCTTCCGCCACGCTGTGAAGACCTTTTTACTCCATCAGGCGGGCTTGGCCTAATCTCTTCCCTTTTTTAAATATGTAAATTTTAATCTGTTTTTAAATTATTGGGGTGTTTTAATCTGTCTGGGCCAAAATGATTTAATTTGATTTTATCTGGTTTTTAAATTTTTTGTATCTATGTATTTTATTGTTGGCTGTTCACTTCCCTGAGTCCTTCGGGAGTAGGGCGGTATACAAATCAAATAAACTAAACTAAACTAAACTAAACTAAACTAAACTAATAAAATCAAATTATGGCATAACATGATGCTGGCGTTCACGTAAGATCTTTAAAAAAATGGCTGGGTTCCTACAATCTATTCATCCAGACACTGGCAACCCATTTATCCCAACACGTTGAGGAAAGCCAGTCATTCTCTTAGGTTAGAGCACGGATGTGAAACGCACCGCATCACATTGCCGTCGCGTGACATTTTGCGACGTTTTTCCCCATTCATGGAGCTGGAGTGGGTGTGGCCTGTGCGTCTGGCCCGTGTGACGCATCTGGCCCGCGGGCCGCCAGTTTCACACCCCTGGAGGGGATAGAGGAACAAACATATAATTATGTTGGGATGGGTCTTAACATTATTGGAACCCTACAAAACCAATAGGGACAATCATTTGGCCACTGCCTTCCTCTCTCTTTCACACTCAAGAGAATTGAGAGCAGTGGCTGTAATTCCTTGACTCTTTACAAGCAGTCCTTGACTTACGACCGCAATTGGGATCAGAATTTCTGTTTCTAAGCAAGGTGGTTGTTAGGTGAGTCGTGCCCAATTTTATGACCTTTTGTGCCAAGGTTCTTAAGTGAGTCACCACAGTTGTTAAGTGAATCATGCGGTCATTAAGCAAATGCAGCTTAATGAGGCCTGGATAGATGGCTCAGTGGCTAAGACACTGAGCTTGTCGATCAGAAAGGTCGGCAGTTTGGCGGTTAGAATCCCTAGTATAGGTCTCCTGCGTGAGCGGGGGGTTGGACTAGATGACCTTCCAAGGTGCCTTTCAACTCTGTTATTGTTACCTGGCAGCTTCCCCCATTGACTTTGCTTGTCGGAAGCTGCCCCGGGGAGGTCACAGATGTGACCCCATGACCCTGGGATGTCGCAACTGTTGTAAAATACACGCCAGTTGCCAAGCATCCAAATTTTGATCATGTGAGTGTTGGGGCTGCTGCGACAGTCCATAAAGTGCAAGGACCAATTGTAAGTCCCTTTTTTCAGCACCCTTGTAACTTGAAATGGTCACAAAACAAAACGAATGCAAGTTGAAGACTACCTGTACAAAACTTATGAAAACTACGTGGTTAGTGAATCTCATTGCCAAAAAAAAAAAGGGAAACCCCCAACTACAAAAAAGGGCAGCAGAATGCTGGGACGGACGGACGGGGAGAGGGGAGAGTGTGACCTTCATCTCTCTACTATCTGTAGTTTGCCTGGAGTTTTGTAGGCAAGACCTAGTAGTCTTAGGGCAATATCCATTCAAAATCCCTCATTTTTTTTTCCACTTTCCCCGGAAATATTTGAGCGCGCGGAGTTTTTTTTGTCAGCCGGTTGTTAAGTAAAATGAAAAGAAAATCCCATTGGGAAGAATTCAGCTTCCCATTCTTTTTCCCAACTACTTGGGAGCTCCGAAAAGAACCCTGTGGGCAAAATCAGCCGCGTTCCTCCCTCCTTCACTCCTCCTCCTCCCTCCCTTCCCCCCCCCCCACTTTTTTGGGGGCTTGTGCAGCTGGTAGTGATGGTGGCTGCTGCGGCGGAAGGATACGCCAGAGAAGGAGGGGGAAGGTCTTGATGCGAGTGTCTCTCTGTGCGTGTGTGCATGTGTGTGTGTGGATGTGTGGAAGCAAAGGAGGAGGAGAAGGCGGCGAAGGAGAAGGGGGCGCCCGTCCGCTGCCCCAGCGAGCAAGGGGGTTGAAAAACGCAAAGAGAAAGAAGCTCGGCTATCATGAGCCAGCGAAGCAAGCGCTGAGTGGGCTCCGCGGCCGGAGGATCGGAAGCACTTTTATCTTCCAAGCGCGGATGGAACGTTGAGGAGGCCACATCAAAAGCTCCTGGCGGGGGGCAAAACACCCGATCGAACGTTGGGACAAACATTCGATCGAACGTCGGCGCGGCCGAACTCGCAGCCCGACGGGCAAAGACAGACTGAACCTTCGGGGGAGCGCCTTTCCCCGTCCTCTCTTAATTTATTTTCCCACTCTCGCTTTTTTATTTTCCTTCTCCTTTCTTTTTCTTTTTCTTTCTTTCTTTCTTTCTTTTTTTTTTTTTCCAAAAAAGCCTCCCTCCCTCGTTTTTACTACATTGTAGCCATTTCCGTTTGCTTGGACATTGTTAAAAGCTGCCTCCACCGTCTCCGTCGCCGCCGGGAGAACAATAGGAAGGCAGGAGGGGCGACCGGGGCGCCCACCCCGGCTGCGCCCCGGGAATCTTCAGCCATACTTGTGGATGTAACCCTCCCCCATCACAAAGCTGAGCAGGTAAGCCTGAGGAAAGGGGGGTGGGTGGGTTAAGCGACTAGGGGAGGGCCTCTGCTTTTAATTTGGGGGGTTCGTTTGTGACTCCTCCCCCTCCACGGAACTATTTTATTTTCGGAGGGGGCAGAGTTGACTTAAGTCTGAGTCTTTCTTCTCTTTCTTGCGGGTCTATAGATTTAACTTTGCTACTTTCCTCGGCTCTGTCCCTTACTTAGCAATTACTCTCTCTGTATGTTTGTTATTAATTTAGGTGTATTTTTTTCCTATTCTTCCCCCACACGCACGCACACTTGTCCTTTCTTTCTCTCTCTCTCCCCCCCCCCCGGAAGTGGCATTAAACTTCATGGGGCGGGAAGTTAGCTGAAGCAAAAGAGGGGGGGTCTTCACTCCTTTTGAGGGTCGGGGAGGGGGAAAGCAACAAGCTTTTTACTCCATTGAACTTTCCTTTAGACCTGCGGGGGAGTTCAGCTTTTTTGGGGGGCGGGGGAGAGAGTAATAACCTAAAGCAGAAGGGGGCTGACTTTCCCCCATTTTCTTGCCTGTGAAGTTTATTGTCCTTAAAGAAAGAAACACTGGGAAGTGATGTTTTAATTTCCCGGCTGCTTCTTTTCAGTTGCAGTTAGTTTGTTCATTTTAATGAAGGGATCCAGAATTCACTCATAGTAGGTACACACATGCACAAGAGTCCCCCCACCACACACACACATACACACCACACACACACACACAAAATTCCCTCTTGCCTATGGGACGTTTTATTAGACTTTGTCCAGCACCAAAACTTGGTGTGTCGGCTATTATTATTTAGTGTGCAATTATCAAACGGTATGGATTCAAGAGGGCAGAGTGTAGAAGATGTTCGGGAGGGTGATTGTATTCCCGATTATCCTATTTTTGCAAGACACCCTTTCTAAAAAAAAGTTTTTAATGTTCTTTCTTCACACTCTCACTCTGGAGAGAAAAGCACACACCAGTTTGATGTCCCTGATTACAGTATCGTCTCCCTTTTAAATCCCAGTTTGCCAATTCTTTCTCTTTCATCCCACAGACGCCCACCCTAATTTATATTTTACCAGTATACGACCCTCCCTTGCTTCAAAACAAAACAAAACCCCAGCACACGCTAATGAAAGTGACAAACTTTTAAAATGAGAACACATCACATTGATGTCACTGCTTGACTGGATTATTCTACTCCAGCTTCCATTTATAAATTCCCTCCCCCCCCACACACACACCCAAGAAACCTCCATTCCTTTTGTAACTCTAATATTTCTACAGCAGGTTTGATGTACCAAACCCCAACGTATGCTACCCTCCTCTCCACAATTATTAGATGAACTGCACAAAGGAAATCGGGAAAATACAAGGTTTTAGGCCATGGATGAAATTAAGCAAAGCCTGGGATTAAATGCCTGCTTTATTTAATTATTTATTTCAGGTTTTTGACTTTATTTAAGAAAGAGGTATGGTTCACCACCTACCCCCCTTCCCTCTTCCCTTCAGCAATTTCCTTGGGAAGTTTTGTATGGCAGCAATCTAAGGCCTACTTTTAGAATATCCCAGAATTTAAGTGCAACCACTAGATTTTTGGAACTCTGTGGGGAGAATTCTTTCTGAGAACTTAAGTCTGTTGGCAAAACTATTTCTTCTGACTTCGGTGTCCCTGTGTATAAAACAATTGTCTCTGGTTTAAATATTTGTTGTTGCTGTTTGCCAATTGAATGGGCACAGACCTCTGCTTTTTTAGTTTTCGAGAAAGATAACAAATAGCCACAAAGTTCTTGTGTAATTTGAAATAATGCTTCAAATTCTGAGTGAAACTGTTCCCCAGATCTTAAATAAAACAGGTCATTATTTATGCTGAGTTGTAACGTTGATCTTTTTACTTATCTGCCTAGATAATGTTTTCTTCAATCACTTGTTCCTGTACGTATCTTATCGCATGTCTAAAATCTATAGGTTTATCTGTGTGAAATCATTCTGTATACCTGTGTGTAGTATTCTCAAAGCAGCACAATATATTAATGAATCTGCTAATTGGCTGCTTTATTGTGAGCAAGTTGTTGACCGCTGTAAAATAAGTTAGGCCTCAATTGCTGAAAGAGAAAAGGGTTAGACCCCCACGCTGGTCCTCAGATACAGCATTTATCGTCCAGTAATATGGGTGCTGCCGCTGCATTTGAGGAGGGGGGTGAGGCCCCAGATGGCAGCTGCTTGCATATAAGAGATTCCTTGTCTGCTGCATTAAACCAAACTGGAAAGGGGGAAAAAAAATCTAATGTGAATTCTCACCCCCACCCTTCCACCAGTAATTTTAAAAGAAATTCTAAAAAATTCTGTGTGAACGTTGGAAGTAGATGTCGGGAGCCTTTGAGTTTATTACAAACTTTTCTTTTTAATGCACAGGCAAGACCTCCCCCTCATACACACGCACACACTTTGCTTTGTGTTAGATTTGTTTTCCTCTGGCTGGCTCTCTACCTTCTCCCCCACCCTTAGTCCGCCTTTTGATCTGTTGGTGACTACATTAAGTTGCCTAAAGATGGAACACTTAGAAAGCCAGAAGAGTTCTAGCAAATATCCATAAACCTGCCTGGAGTTTGTTTAATTTTTTTTTCTTTAAAAGTATGGTAATAAGGGAAGGGGGAGGAGGAGGAGGAGGAGGAGGAGGGGCCTGGGGGATGGGGGGAGGGTCCGGGGGAGCTGGTTTGGAGTCTTTGTCCTGAAGGGGGAAAAAAGTGTCCCGCTTCTCAGTAGTGAAAGGAACCCCAAATGAGTCAGGTTGAAGGGCAGCGGGGAGGGAGGGAGGAGAAAACCGCTTGGAATGGGGGGGAGCAGGTTGGGGGACGCCCGTCAGCTGGGGGGGACAGCCACTTTCTCTGGCGGGGGCGGGGGAAGGGAGAGATTTGAAGAAATATTTTGGGGAGGGGAAAACTCAACGCCACCGCGTTTCCTGCCTGAAGTCCAGCCGCCTTCAATTTGCCCTTGTGTTCTTGTGTGGATCTTTGCCAGCGGAGAGCAGAAAGAGAGAGAGAGAGAGCACCAGCCGATTGGCAGGGCTGAACCCCGGGCTCTCCTAGAATATCCGTGTCTGGAGTGAGCGAGACCGGGTTCATCGGCCGGATCCAGGCGATTGCTCATGCCGAGAGCACGTGTCTGGGATTTTGCCGTGCCTCGGCTTAAGACTGGCAAGTGCCCTCGGTGGAGGAGGGCTGAAATGCCGTTTAAGGGGGTGCTTTTTCCATCTCCCCCCCGCCCCACCCCACACACATATGTGAATGGAGCAGGGGAAGATTTATTTTTGTAAAAAACAAACAAACCTTGATGAAGAGGTAGATTGGTAGGGTACCAATGCTTTCTAACATCCTTTTCTGCTCCTCACCCCAAAAGTGAGGAGAAATTCTAGGGATACCCCACATCTTTGGGGTTATTTTTATTTCGTTGCCACCATTTCTCCCGTGTAGCAATCTGCTTTTCCCAGATTATCTTCATGAGGTAGGCTGGAACTGAGAGGAAGAGACAGGCCCGGTGAGTTTTCCAACAGTGAGTTGAATCCAGGTCTTCGGGAGTGCAATCTGGCCTTCTGGGCGAATGATCAAAAGTTTTGTTTTCCACCTTCGAATTTAGCCCTTATTACAAGGAGTTTCTGGAAACACGCTTAGCAACTTTCAGATAAAAAGTAATTGCCAGATAGTTTGCTGAAATTAAAGGCTCTATTGCACCATTACTCAATTGCCTTCACTAAGTTCATAGAGAAAGTGAGTGGGTGTGAGTCTTTCTTTTTCCCTTCTAAATTATAGAGTAAACTGGATTTGCTGCACAGTCTTGTAACCTCATAGTATTCAGTGGGCCTCTCTGCCCATTACATGGCGTAGCCTGAAAAGTCTGGATTACAATCCTAATTGTGCTTTGTGTGGAGTAAGGCCCGTTGGCAATCATGGAGTTTACTCTCAAGTAGACATGTCTAGGATTCTGGACTTTCTACCAACCCACTCAAGCGACACACGTCTGTCTGTCTGTCTGTCTGTCTATCTATCTATCTATCTATCTATCTATCTATCTATCTATCTATCAGCAAAGGTAAAGATTGCTATTCCCAGTGATCAACATAAGATCAACAATGAATATATAAGGCATAGTTAGAGTACTTAACAGTTTTTGATTTACGAGGGGCAATGGGGCCTGGGATCATGGAGAAAAGGAAGAGAACCAGTAAAGGAATCTCAGGAAAACAAGAGCAGTTAAATTTGTTGAGTTGTCAACCCCTGATTAGCATGTATTGTAGAAAGTGTGCTCTGGCAATTTGGGGCAAACCCCACTTATGCATTTCTATAGAGGTGGTGGGGGGTGTCTCCCATTTTTATCCAGCAAAAATAGGAGCACCGAGTAGGAGAGTTGATTGATCTAGTGATGAAGGCGCCAGCCTAGAAACCAGGAGACTGTGAGTTCTGGTCCTGCCTTAGGCATGAAATCTGGCTGGGTGACTTCGGACTAGACCCTCTCTCTCAGCTCAACCCACTTAACAGGGTTGTTATTGTGAGGAAAATAGAAGGAGGAAGGGGTATTAGGTATGTTAGCCGCCTTGTGTTATTTATAAAAATAATAAGGAAAGGTTATCAATAAATAATTGGGTGTATCTTTCCTTTCAAGTCTGTGTGATTCCATGTGAGCGTAAGTGCACAAGTATTTTTCTATTCACGAGCCTCAAAAAAAAAAAGAAGGATTCTAGTATTTGTTTTGTGCCCTGACATGTCTCATTTGGGATCAAAGGCCTGTGTGGAAATTAAATCCCACTTTCATGCTTAAGAAGTACTAAGATCTTTCATTTGTCCTCTTGTCTAATTTGAACCCCCTTTTTTTATATATATAATGAATGGCTTGTACCATACCTTGTGGCAGAGAGTTATACCTCCTTTTGTTTGTTCTTGTCGTTGGTGGGTGACCAATAAGGTCTAAAGTCTTATGAGGGGGTTTTAAATAAAATATTATTTTTTAGTAATAATTATATGTTGCAATTCCTGAGCATTGAAGTTTCTCTGATCTGTAGGTTTTACCAACAAACGAGATTAAATGTGAGGACATCTCACATCACAGCGTGAAGTAATTTTTTTTTAATTTTTTTTTTCTTCTGAAGACTACAAATTTAAAGCTGTTATCTGGCTGCTTTCCTAGGCTGCATCCCCATTGATCGGATTCACACAACCAGGACAACTCTCTCCACCCCCTGCCCCCCATCAATGTTTTACAGCAGCCTTTCCTTGTTGACTAAGGATTGTGGACATTGTTGTTGTATCTGGAGGTCCCCAGATGCACACACAAAAAAATGTTCTATGCTTAAAAGGGTTGCTTAAAACTGGGCCAGGTTTACTCTGCAGTAGATCCCACTGAGTTGTGCAGTGTTTACTTCACTTACAAGTACAATAAACTCTCTGTGTTCTCATGGTGCGAGTATAAAGCTACGCTCTTACAATCCATCAAGTAATTTGGGTCTTTATTTTGTAATTCTTGCGCTGAGCAGGGGGCTGGATTTGATGACCTCTGTGGCCTCTTCCAAGCCAAGGAGCTGCTAGTAATTATTGTTTATTTTACATATTGGTATGCCACCCACTCCCAAATGATTCTGGGTAGCTTGCAAAAAGACAGACGTTAAAAACCACACAGTCAGCAGCATGGGGCAGTCAAAATTAACAAAGGCTCTCTGCCCCAAGGACACTACAGTTTCTTTTTTTTATATAGTTTTATTTTTTTATATGGGGAGGATGAGGCTGGGAAGGGTTGAAAGTGAGGTGGTGACCAAATGAAGCCGTTGATTAGAGAAAATTGTTCCTCGTCAACACAACTAGCTCTTCCACAGATAAAGCAAAGTCTGTGTGTGGAAAAGATGGAATTTTTGTGTTCACTGTTAACCTGAATTTTGCTATATAAGACATGCCATTTTTTTATTATTTTTTTTGCATTTCTGCTCAAATGTTCAGGCAGATCAACAGAGCTTATTCTCAGGTTAGTGTAAGATCGCAGTGTAATTGCCCTGTGGAGGTTGGATCACACATTGATTTTTAGTTTTTATAGAGAGTATTCAAAATTCAGATTTTAAGTATTTCCTACTGTGTCTTTTAAGGGCACAGGAAATGAAACCTTTGCTTTATTATTTGCAAGAACAACAACTCCTCTAGTCCGTATTAAAAAAAAAAGAAAAAAAAAGAGAGGGGGAGGAATTGTGATTGATGGATTTGTAAATAGATGCAGTATTAGTATTAACTGCAGAATTACTTTGGGAACCTTAAAATCAAAGGTCAGCAACTTTTCCAAGTGTTAGAGCGGTAACTGGAGTAACAGGTGATCTGGAATAGAAAAGGCCGTAACCTTTAGATTTCTGCTGTCTCCCCATTCCTGCATTTATTTGTGATTTTTTTAAAAAAATTTGTATTGGTTTTGAAGTGGCCCCAGTCAAGAAATTGGCACTTAAAGATACTCTGTGTGTGTGTGTGTGCGCACGCTTGCCTGTGTGTGCAAGAGAGAAAGAGTTTTAATTACTCACTTGTTGCTTGCTAGAGAATTTTTGCCCGGGAGGATTTATAATTCTGAGAAATAGTTGCATATTGTATCTAGTATTGAATAACATGAGCTTATTTTGAAGCGCTTCCATTCCATTAAAAAAAAATAAAAATCTCTCTTTCTTCTCCACTCCTATCCTGCTTCCTTTCTCCTCCGGTATCGCCCCCTTCCTCCCTCCCTCCCTCCTTCCCCGTGTCCTTTTTCTAAAAAAGACAGGAGACCATTTCAATCGGTGGGAATATGAACCAGCAACAAAGAATGGCTGCAGCAGGAACCGACAAGGAATTAAGCGATCTCCTAGATTTCAGTATGGTAAGTGAGACGCTGGGGGCGATGGAGGCTCGGTAAATTTCCTGAATTTGGGGTCGTTTTGTGTGTGCGCGTGGGGGTGGGGTGGGGTGGAGATGTCTAAAAGAGCAGCAGCTCCATTTTGTACCCGGCATGCTCTGGGCTGTAAGGGGAGGGGTTGGAGGATACCCCTGGCAGAAGGGAGGGGGGGTTAACTGGGAGTCGCAAACTACAAGCTTCAACTTGTTTGTTCTCTGTACTTAAGAGTATCAAGGGGGACCAGTAATTGCATAGTCTCCTTGTTGTGAAGGCTTAAGGAGATACAGTAGTTTGGCCTGATGGGAAGAAAACAAAGCAGGTAAATCAGTCGGATGTCTTCTTCCACCCTTTAAATTTCTCTCCCACCCCACCCCCCAACAGATAAAAGTGTAAGGTTCTCCTAACTCTGCAAAATGCTACCATTAATCCTGGTTTGGTTTTCAGCCCACCCCTCTCTCCGTCTGTTTTCTGGCCAAGCCCAGAATTTTAATTTGTGTTTATTGTACTGGGAAATAAGTCCTGCTTGGCCGAATTTCTTGCAAACGATCTGAAATGGACAGGGAAAGTAGCGTTGGCTTGTTGAGTAGGTACGCTTGCCTAAAGCAGGAATTTAGAGGGACGTGTCAGAGAACAGGCAAAGTTCAGAAATGGGTGCTGATCAGTTTTATTTTACTGGAATGTATGGCGTCCAAGTGCCACACTGTTCACGCATTGATTTGACATTTTTATAAAAAAAAATTAAAAAAAAACTTTTTAAAAAAGAAAAAGAAATGGGTGCTGTTTGGGGGTCCCCTCCTGCCCCAATACCTTTTAATTCTTCCAGAGGGGGTATTAGTTGGATTGGGTTGGCTTCTCTGTTGCATCTTTCTATACCTATGTTAACCCCAAATGTCCCAGACTAAGCGCCAAGGACCTGAGAAAATATCGAGGGTAATTTCTTTGTCCTGGAGCTGTGTTTTTCAAAACTTGGCAAGTTTAAGATCTGTGGACTTCCATCTCCCAGAATTCCCCAGCCAGCTATGCTGGGAGTTTGAAGTCCACACATTTTCTGCAGCCAGAATTCTGGGAGTTGAAGTCCACACATCTTATAGTTGAATGAACAGTGCATCAGATCCTCATGGCCATTGGCGCCATATTTTGCTGGATGTTTTCACCAGTAGGTCCAGCATCTCTTTCCCTTTCTTCTCAATACTTTTTTCAAGCCTTCACTGACAGGAGTAGATGCAGTTGGAAAACTGTCATTCAAATTGTACTTCAAAGGGTGGGAGACCTTGGCTTTTTAAGATAAGAGCCTTTTTAAGATAAGAGGCTCTTTGGAAGGAAGCTGGCAGAGGCTCTCCACACCGTGGAGGGAGATAAAGAGATAAGTGCAGAGCAAAGGATGACTAGGGGCGATCCTTGCTGGATCCTTGTTCTTTTTGTGGCTTGCTTCTGGCTTGTTCGAATGGGGAACTTCCTGGTTCTGTAGCAGTGTCCCTTCTGCCAACGTTATGTGGTTTGTTCCCCAATATTTGATGGCCCATGGGAGGAGCAGTGGGCAGATTGTGTATCTTCTGTTCTGGTTAGTTCCCTTTGCTCTGTTAATGATTGGTTAGTATTTTCTCCTGGTCATGAATGTTTGGGGGCGTCATGCAGTGATCATCGAGGGTTGCTGTAAAAGCTTGTGTTTTTTTTCACTTGTTCCACATTGGCAGGAAAGGTTTTTTCTGCTTAAAAGGGACTGCCATCTTCTTTGTGGTCTGTTCTCTTTCCCCAGTTTTTTCTTCCTCTAATTTTTTTTATTTTTTGTTGATATCCTGCCTTATTTAATATTTTTATAAATAACTCAAGGCAATGAATATATTAAACACACCTTCCTCCTCCTATTTTTCCCATAACAACAATCCTGTGAGGTGAGTTGGGCTGAGAAAGAGTGACCCAGCCAGTTTTCATACCTAAGGCAGGATCAGAACTCAAGTCCAAAGTCATCCAGTTGGCTTTGATGACTAAGATGGGACTTGAACTCACAGTCTCCTGCTTTCTAAACTGGTGCCTTAACCACTAGATCAAACCAAATTCTTACTCTTTGCAAATGAATTTCACGCCCCTTAACGTGGTGATGGGAGTACACATTTTCAGGGTCTTTAGAATTAACTATGTATTTCTTATATTAAGGTAGAGATCCAATGTGGTGTTATAGTTAAAGGCTAGAAGCTGGGAGAGTGTGAGTTCTAATCTTAACTTAAGCACAGCTGGGAGATCTGCCAGCCAGGTGTCTCTCAACCCTAGGAAGCTGGCAATGGCAAACCACTTCTGAAATCTTGCAGAAAACTATAGGAATTTATCCATGCAGTCACCAGGAATCAATACTACTTCTAAGATATAGGTTGTCCTCGACTTACAAGAGTTCGTTTACTGACCGCTCAAAGTTACAATGGCACTGAAAAAAGTGACATGACCATTTTTCACACTTACGACCATTGCAGCATCCCCATGGCCACGGGATCAAGATTCAGATGCTTGGCAATGTTGGAGATGTGATTGCCTAGATGCCACATATTATCATATGTGGTGGACTTGTAAGAAAGTGAAGGCTTTTTGGATAAAAATTTGGTGGGTTATGCAGAATGTTTTGAAGAAAAAAATTCAGTTTTCTCCACAATTGTTTTTATTGGGTATAGTTAAGGGTTTTACATTGGGTGAAACAAAGTTGATATTGTATATGATAACAGCAGCGAGATTACTGATAGGTCAATATTGGAAAAATGAAGCTATGCCTACTATTGAAGAATGGACTCTGAAGATGGCCAGTTTTGCAGAGATGGCGAAGATTTCAGCATATTTAAAAGATCGCTCACAAGAGACTTATGTATGGGAGTGGAAAAAGTGGATAGATTATGTGCAGAATAAATATCAAACTAGGAAATATCAGATAGCTTTTAATTGAAAGTATTATATAGGGATAGAATCATTGCATTTTGAGAAGATGTGAAAAATATACAGGGGGTGGAGGGGTTCAAGTTTTATAAAAAGGGGATTATGATTTGGATTATATTTTGTGGAAGTCCGGGGGAGAGGAGAGGGCTAGGGAGGGTTAGGGGGGTCAGGGAGGGTTAGGGGGGGAAATGGGAGAAAATGTAATTGTAAAACTTGTTCAATAAAAATAAAAAAAAAGATTCAGATGCTTGGCAACTGAGTCATATTTAAGACTGTTGCAGTTTCCTGGGGTCATGCAATCTCTTTTTGCGACCTTCTGACAAGCAAAGTCAATGGGGAAGCTAGATTCACTTAACAACCATGTTACTAACTATTCAACCGCAGTGATTAACAAATGTGAGAAAAGTTGTAAAATGGGGCAAAACCCACTTAACAAATGTCTGGCTTATTAACAACAGAAATTTTGGGCTCAGTTGTGGTCATAAGTTGAGAACTACTGCATATACATAGCAGGTAGTCTTCAACATATGATCACAATTGTGCCCCAAAGTTCCGTTGTTAAGTGAGGCATTTGTTAAGTGAGTTTTGCCCCATTTTACAACCTTTCCTGCCACAGTTGTTAAGTGAATCACTGCAGTTGTCAAGTTAGAAACACGGTTGTTAAGTGAATCTGGCTTCCCCATTGACTTGGCTTGTCAAAAGGTCGCAAAAGGTGATCACATGACCTTGGGACACTGCAACGGGTGTAAGTGTGAAAAATGATCATAAGTCACTTTCTCCAGTGCCATTGTAACTTTGAACGGTCACTAAACGAACTGTTGTAAGTCGAGGACTACCTGTAGACTGGCCTAATTAGTGTGGTCCCTCACCATAGCTACCCTGGACTGAATACAATTTAGCGTAATTGAGCAGAGGCAATCGACCCTAAAACTAATGTGCCACAGATAAAGCCACCTGGCCTGTTAATTTTCTGCATGCAAGTATCTCATGTCGCATATTGTGATTTCCAGGGCTGGAAAAAGAATCTTGCCTGGAAGATGGGTTACCAACATGGTTGGCTTGATGTATCTTTCTAGGATTTTTTTTTTCTTCAACTGAAAGAGCATTCGGCTCAGTTGGACATTGGCCATGTCTGAAGGAACTAACCTCGATTCCCACAAGGTTTTTCCAAAGCCTTAGCCAATCCCTTCTCTGGATTGAGGCTACATCTTAGAGTAGGATCCATTGTTCTTTACAAGTGGCTGGATTTTCTGACAGAAACTTCAAAGCAGGCATTTTTACTGGCGAAGAGGAGCAGCTAGGACCATGATGGCGAACCTATGGCACGCGTGCCAGATGTGGCACGCAAAAGACCTCTCTGTGGACACGCGTGCTGTTGCCAGCTGTTCTTCTGGTTTCCGGTGCACGCATGCGCACCGGCCAGCTGGTCGCGCGTGCTGGAGCCCCGGAAACCCGAAGACCAGGCAGCCAGTACGTGCATGCGGAGTTTCCGGGCCTCTGGCACGCATGTGCATTCCAGTTTGGACACTCGGTGCCAAAAAGGTTCACCATCACTCTCCTAGGAGTTAGGTGTCTTGAAAAGCAGTCTGCATGAACGATGGGAGGCCCAGCGTTGAATAGAGACCTTATTGGAGCTGAATCAAAAGCCATAAATTGATAGCATGCAACATAGTAAAACTGGGAAGCCAGTAATTGGATAAACAGATATATCTAAAGAGTTCATTTTGATAGTGTTAACCATCTTACTTGAAAGCAAGCAATAGCAGATACATGATTGCTATTGTAATAGCTGGCACTTGAAGACATAACTAGCTTTTAATGTACGTTATCAGTTAGATACAATTTTGTATTTGTGATTTTATAAACAGGTCTCATTTGAAAGCCTCCCCAGTGCTGGATTGATAGATATTTTCACAGGCCTTCCTATGGGGTACAAGCAGGAAGATTTTTTTTTTAATTTGGAAGGGAACTTCCAGCTGGACTGAGACTGCGAATGTGTATTGAGCGAGGGTAAAATAAGGAATGATAAATGTGGGAGATCTTTCCACTTTTATGATTTATTTTTTTTTTTGCATCGTGCAAATGTTTTTGAACTGGTCTGAATTTAATCTGCCTTCCTTCCTTCCTTTCTCTTTTGGCCCGAAAGAGAACATTTCCCAGACAGATGGGATTAATTTTGTCATGTTCGGCAGGTCACTGCAAGTGCTGCCTGTTTTACTGTTTCGCTATTGTTCTTAAGATTTGGCGTTTGTTATCTTACACAGCCTGTCACATTTGAGGGTGAGCAGGAAGTAGAACTCCCAAGGATCTGGTGGGGGCGGGGCTATGCAAATAAGGTCTAGATGGGTATTTGGTGGGGTTTTTTTTATCCATATGTTTAGTGTTAATGTTGAAATTCGACAAAAAGTTTTCAGAAAAGCAAGATGATTTTTTTTAAAAAAATGACTACTTTGAATTAAAATGGAATAGTATAGTATTTATTAACGCCAGTTGTTTCTAGTTTGTGCCTGTGAAGAACTCCTGTCTTCTGTTTCTAAATAACCGCTAAGTTAAAGGCCTTAGTCACTTCACTTGATAGACTATTTTTTAAAAAACGAGAAACAGCTTTCTTTTGTTTCCCCGAAAATAAGACATCCCCTGATAATAAGCCCAATCGGGCTTTTGAGCGCATGCGTTAAAATAAGCCTTCCCCCGAAAATAAGCCCTCCCCGAAAATATTTAAACGCAGAACTGAAAATCAGGTAAGACGGTAAGAGGAGCCCCATCTTGCTCCATGCACCCCAAAATAATAAGACCTCCCCAAAAATAAGGTCAAACACTTATTTCGGGGTTCCAAAAATTATAAGACAGGGTCTTATTTTCGGGAAAACATGGTACATGCAGAAGGTATATAATGCAGCCATCACTCCCTGAAAACAGCATCCTCACTTGTTCCACACGGAAAAAAAATGAGGGGTTGTGGCATTACTATTTTATTATTTTTATTTTTATATGGTGTTTTTAGATCCTTGTAAGCCGCCTTGAGTCGCCCATGTGCGAGTAGGTGGCAGTATAACTTTTCTAAATAAATAAATTGCTCATATAAATAGAAAATATTTGTTGTTCAGGATTGACATTGAGGGGAAATGCAAGAAAACAAGTAAGCTCAGAGCGCACCAAGGACCCCTCACTGCTCATATTCCCCATTCCTTAGAATAAGTGGAAATGCCTTTCCCCAAAAGAAGCCCTCTATTTTTGAGAAACAAAAGGAGAAAGGATCAGAGGAGGCATTATCTATGGCAAGGGTCTCCAACCTTAGCAACTTTAAGACTTGTGGACTTCAACTCCCAGAATTCTGAGAGTTGAAGTCCACAAGTCTTAAAGTTGCCAAGGTTGGAGACCCTGATCTATGAGACCAACATAAGGGATTATTTGTGGTTTAGGGTTGAAATGAGGAGTCCTTCATGCTCTCTGAGCTTATTTGTTTTCTTACAGACATTTCATTACCCAACTAGGTAACGTCTTCAGTGCTACTGATGTTATTCAGCTGGGCAATGAAAAACAACCTGTTAAAAAAACAACCAAGCTCAGAGAGCACTAAGCACTCCACATTTTCTGTGATGCCTTGCTGGACCAGGGCAGAATTGCCTCTTGAGAGGGTCTGACAACTTGCATTTCACGGGTAATATACTCCAATTGAAAATCTGAAAAATGCTTTGTAGCCTAATTTGAATAGGTCACCGATAGTCCTCAACTTATAACCATTTGTTTAGCAACGGTTCAAAGTTGCAACAGCACTGAAAAAAAGCATTTTACAACCGGTCCTCACACTTAATAACCATTACAGCATCCCTACGGTCATGTGTTCAGAATTTACCAACCAGCATGACTTTATAACAGTTGCAGTGGTCCCAGGGTCATGTGATTGCCACTTGTGACCTTCCCAGCTGACAGTCAATGGGGGAAGCCAAAGTCACTTAATGACCAGGTGATTTAGTTAACAACTGCAGTGAGTCACTTAACAACAGTAGCAAAAAAGATGGTAAAATTCGGTGCAACTCACAACAATCGCCTTGCTTAGTGTTGGAAATTCTAGTCCCAATTGTAAAACCTATTTTCCAAAGCACCTGAAAGCAGGACAAGAAGCAATGGGTGGAAACTAGTCAAGGAGAGAAGCAATCTAGAACTAAGGAGAAATTTCCTGACAGAACAATTAATCGGTGGAATGATTTGCCTCCAGAAGTTCAGGGTACTCCATCACTGGAGGTTTTTAAGAAGAGATTGGACATGCATTTGTCTGAAATGGTATAGGGCGATAATGGCTAAACTTTTTGCCATCGCGTGCCAGGAGAGGGGGGGGTTGGGGGTGGTTCGCACGTGCGTGTGCCCACACTCATAATTCTATGCGCCCAGCCCTGCACACGCAACCCCCCTCCCTCTCCCTCCCCCGCTCGTGGCACATGATGGCCTGGTAGGCCCATTTTTCTTTCTTACCTGACTCCAGATCCTCTCTATGCATCTGGGAAGGGCGAAAGCAGTCTTTCCCACTCCCTCGGAGGCACTTCAAAGGCCTGAAAGGGCCCAGGCCCAACTCCTGGTTGGACAGGAAGTGACATTTTTTGCTGTCCCCAACCTCCAGAGTTTCTCTAGGAGTCTCTGGAGGCTGGGGACAGCAAAAAAATCACTTCCTGTCCCACCAGGAGTTGGGAAATGGGCCCTTTCAGGCCTCCGGAGGGCCTCCGAGGGAGTGGGAAAGACTGCTTTCGCCCTCCGCAGATGCATAGAGAGAATCTGGAGCCAGGTAAGAAAGAAAAACGGGCCTTCCCCACCTCACCCCATGCCCTCCGGAGGCAGGAAACAGCCTGTTTCCCTACTTCTGGTGGGCCCAGAAGGCCCGAAAATCAGCTGGCCGGCACGTGCATGCGCGCCAGAGCTGAGCTGGCGTGCCAACTGATATGGCTACGCGTGCCACCTGTGGCACACGTGCCATAGGTTCGCCATCACGGGTATAGGGTCTCCTGCTTGTGCAAAGGGTTCGACTAGAAAACCACCAAGGTCCCTTCCAACTCTGTTATTCTGTTAATTATCTTTAGTTCAGTTCCTGGCATCTCCATGTAAAAGTGTTAGAATTGCCAAAGGCATTTTCCTCTGGCAGGATATTGACCTTTAGCTGTCTTATAGAGAAGACAGAATAATTGGGTTCACACAACATCTTCTCCCCTAACCCATTTTAACAAAAAACATGCCATTTCTAAGTTCCCATAAGATATTATGGGCTAAACGTGATATCCTGGTTTGAACATGTTGAGCCAGTCTACTCACCCTCTTTCTAGTCTAGTTAAATATGTTGTGTGAATCCAGTCTGTGGTCCTTCCAGATGTTTCTGGAAGGCAACTCACGCTATCTCTGATCATTGGGCAGACTGGCTCAAAACAGAGGAATTTGAAATTACAGCTGGATAGACCCAGAATGCAGAACGGAGATAAGCCAACAACCTGGCTTCTCACTGGACAGTTGCCTATGCCCATCAGGAGCATTCTTCATTCAGCCAAGACCTTGGAGTGACCCTCGAGTTGATCGGTCTTCCCCAGTTTGAAGCCTTCCAGATGTGCTGGGTCTCATCCTGACACATCTGGAGGATATCAGGCAGGACTATTTGTCTGGTTTGTGGGGACTGTTCAATTATTTTTTTAGAATGGGGACTTCTCTGTTCAACCTTTGTGGGCAGCACACTTAAAAGGGGAAAGAGGCATCAAATATGCCCATACAGAAGGACCAATATAAGGCAGTATAGCGGCTCCCACAGCTATTTGGGAAAAGAGGTGAAAACACACACATACACACACTCTGCTGGAAGTTAGTGTGTTGGTCCTTCCTCCCTCTTCCCACTGCTCAGGTTTATCTGCCCCTTACCTGCTCAGGAACTGGTTATTGCTTCATTTAGATAACACGCCTGATAGCAGGTTGGGGAAAGCTATACTAACAGCTGTGCTTCTACCTGTTCTTTAGGGAAGGACGAAATCTACCTTGTACTTTTTGGAACGATTCCTAAGTGAACATAACTGAGATCTTTTAGAAATGCAGTTTTAAGGGAAATAGAAATGCATTTCCAACTGACCATCTACATTCATTTTAAGAATCCACTTCTTTGACTCTTATGGAATCAGGCTTCCTCTGTGAAATGCAATCCCTAGAGATGCCCTTCTGAAATTTTTGATATCCAATCGATGTTTTCATTTCCTAGGCATTTGAAGAACTATTTCAGAATATTAGAACATTAGGGTTTCCTTGCTGCTTTATTCTGATTTTTAATGCTTTAATTTATTGCCTTGATTATTGCCGCTTCTGATTTTTATCTTATCCTTGCAACGCTCTCTGGGTGGGTTTTTCTATTGTTTGCATAGTGGTTTTTAAATAGCAAACAGACCCAAGATAGGCAGCCCAATAATTTAACTCTGCAGAAGATTTATGGTCTATCCAGCAACTGCACACACAAAAACAGCAACAGTTTTTGCAAACAGTTTGAAGAGCTCACTGATGAAATAGGACAGCTTTGTTTCATTTTGGATTTTGGCTACATAGCTAAATCTGTGGCAGTACCTCTCAGAATGTTTTTAATTGCTGAATTATTTCCCTTTCTCCCCACACCCATGTTCTCCAATGTTTAATCTTGTTATTGTTTGCTTTCTTTTTTTCTAGATGTTTCCCTTGCCAGTGACTAATGGAAAAAACAGACCCACGACTCTTGGTAGCACGCAGTTTGGTGGATCAGGTATTGCTTAATTTTCTCTTCCCTTTGGGTAGGAAACAGCCCAAGCTCTTTGATATAGATGTAACATGTTTTCAAATATTGAGACTATGGTTAAAAATCTGGTCCGGGGACTTAAGGCTTCCTTTTCCCAGTTAAACACCACTATTTCGGTTTTTTTGTTTGCCTTGATCTCATCTGGAGGGCTATTCACATAAAAGATGATCTGGAGCAGGGATCTAAGGAAGAAAATGACATCCTGCTATTTTGACTGTGCTATGGGTTTTTTTTGTTTTTTTTTTTAAATATGGGCTTATTTTTGAAAATGTACTTCTTTATGCACTGATAATGTTACCTAGTTTGGGTAATGAAATGTCTGCAAGAAAAAAGAAGCTCAGAGAGCACCAAGGACCCCTCATGTCAACCCTGAGCTATTCTTCTTTATTGGCACGTACTTATTTAGCAAAGTGTTCATATTTTATAAGCTAATTGACTTCTTCTTCTCCTCCTCCTCCTCCTCCTCCTCCTCCTCCTCCTCCTTCTTCTTCTCCTCCTCCTCCTCCTCCTCCTCCTCCTCCTCCTCCTCCTCCTCCTCCTCCTCCTCCTCCTCCTCCTCCTCTTCTTCTCTCTTTTCTTCTTCTTCTTCTTCTTCTTCTTCTTCTTCTTCTTCTTCTTCCTTTTTAAAAGAAGTGTTTTTCAATCTTAGCAACTTCAGCATTCTGCAGGAGAATACTGGGAGTTGAAGTCCACACAAAGTTGCCAAGATTTAAAAATAGTGATTTAAGCAATTAAAGCATCTATCTCTCAGTGTTGTGTATGGCACTTCTGGAACCGTCAGGTTGGTCCCTTAGAGAAACAAGAGTGTCACAACTTTCAACCCTGGCCTCCTAGCCCTGGGCAAGAGATGGAAGAGTCATAGTCCCAAAACACCTGGAAGGTCCCCCTGCTGTGAATGAAGAGCCAAACAAAGTTGAAAATGAAGGGAAATTCCCACCCTTTTTATTTATTAATGGTATAAAGCTACAGAGTGCTCTCTTTTCTTCTTGGGCTGGTCCTTTAGCATGAAAGTAAAGAACTGAACTCCATTGTCACTGGGGATCACTTTGATTTGGGGCGTGTGTTGGAGAAAACTCTTATTTTCTGCCAGCGGGCGATACAAGTTTGTGCAAGTGTTGAATGTTGAAGCTACAGGCGGTGAGAACAAAGCCAATTTCCCCGCCACATGTTCTGTGCCTGAAGGTTGTCGTGTCTGCTGTGTTTTCCCCCTTTGATGCTCTTTTTCACAAAAAAAAAAAAAAAGTGTTTCAAAATGAAGATACTTGCCACAGTCAACCCTTATGGGATATATTTGCTTGAGGGGTATTGTTGTTGTTCTTTGGTTCCATACTTAAGGAATCATGCTTGGGATTTGGATCCGTAAATTTACACTCCAGCTCTGCCTGACTTTCGTTCTCTAGGGCTGGAAGAAAATCCACCAGCTTTGTATCGGCTCCTTTTGATTCAGGCTGCCGGCTTTGTAATTAAAAGACGAGCTGGGTAAAATGGCATGGAAGCGTTTTAAGGAAAAGAGGGCAGGGCAGAGGTCCACCTAACCCCATATTGCCACAGTGATGAGCAGTCTTTCTAGTCCAGTATTTCTCAACCTCATGTTGGCTGGGGGAATTCTGGGAGTTGAAGTGCAGGCATCTTAAAGCTGCTGAGGATGTTAAGAAAACCCCTTCTAGACTCTCTCAAAAAGAGAGCTTTCTTTCCATCGCCTGTTATTTCCTCACCTTTATGAACTGGAAGTGCCAAAGTCTTAAACTTAGGAAATTCTGCACCCAGATTTGCTATTCCATCTCGGAGGAACTGTCTTTCTGATTTATTTCTGAGTGATACGCCCAACACTTACACCCATCCAAACATGTTCTCAGGATTTCCTATCAGTTCTGTGTGTGAATTCCAGAGACCAGAAGCGTCAATCAGCCACTCAGATCAGTTGTGCGGCCTGTAAATGGGCCCGGGCCGGCTCTGCCCCATTATTCGGTGGTTTTAATTCACCAATTATTATGGTGTTTTCTCCATCCTCCTCCTGCCACACCCACCAGCTACACCTTTGCGGATGCAAGAAATGCCAACAGCAACTGTGGGATCTGCCATTCTGGAGAGAACAACACATTACAGATTTGGAAGAATATTTTTCTCTCTTAAGCGACGACTAATGTTTTGTTCATACATTGTGCAAAACTCTGGTCTTTTTAACTGTACTTTATTGAACAAGCCACACCTATAGGTTGGCAGAGCAAGACTAGCTTTGTCTGCTGGATGCACACCTCACAAAAAACCCCAAACCAATAATCTTACAATTATTATACTAGGAACCATGTCTGAGTATTCACACACACTGTCCTGTGTACTTCTTTGAGATGCAGCTTCAGAGCGGCTGCAATTAATCACCGATAATATGGACACCTTGTTTAGATACAGAAAAGTACATTCACAAAAATATCTATTTTTCCAGGGCTTATTTATTCAATGCCCTGCCCTCTGGATCCTCCCATCATGCCCTCCCAACCTGGTAAGGATTACTAGGAGTTTAATCCAACCACTCAGAAACATGTTAATAATGGAGTTATAGTTTTTACCAAATTTCACTATGAAGCCAGATGTCCTGGAATAAGTTAGCAAAACTCAGCTCCCTCCCAGATCTTTCCTTTCTCTCATGCATTGATGGGGTGGGCGATGGATAAATTATAATCGCAGTTTAATTTGATTTCATGCCAGTGTTGTTATGGGTAGTTTTGAGCTGCTGCCACTGCTGCTTTAAGAGTTTATATACACACACACCTTTTCTAAGGGCATGCAATGACTATGTATATATAAGCTGTGTATAGATAAATAGAGAGGAGAGATCATGGAAGTGGGGGGAGGGGCAATAAGTCACAATGATGGATGCAGCTGCACAGTCAAAACCTCTCTCCCTTTTTATGTGCATGTTGGTGATCTGGAGAGAGGGTTTGGGTTCAAAGCAGTGGTGGGATCCTCCCGGCTTAACAAAGTTTGAACAAACCTTCACTTCCGGGTTTCTTTGGAGGAGTAACATAGCTGATTTGCACGGCAATCGGCTCTGCAGTGCAAATCAGCTGAGGACATAAAGCTAGGAAAATAGCGCGGGTGGGTGAGTGGGCCCATCTGATTGTCGGGGCGAACCGGTTCGCTCCCAGCTAATCGTCGGAGGTACCGGTTCGCCCAAACTGGTAGAATCCCACCACTGGTTCAAAGGCAGCATGGCCTAGTATGAATAGTGCTAGACTAGGAGCAGTGGTGGGTTTCACTTACCTTTGCTACCGCTTTGCTCGCACGTGCGCCACTTCTGTGCATGTGGAGAAGCTTCTGCGCATGCGCAGAATATATTTGATGACGTCCGGGCAGGTGGGTGGAGCCTTCTGTCACTGCTGCTACCAGTTCGCCTGAACCAGGATGAACTGGTAGCAGCCCAACACTGACTAGGGGTGGGGAAACCCAGGTTCATTTCCCCCTTTCAGCCATGGAAGCTCGTTGGCTGACTTTGGGCCAGTCCTCCCCTCTCAGCCTATCTGGTCTAGTGGGGAAGAGGCTGGATTAGGAGTGATGAAACCTACAGATTCTAGATCCCTCTCAGCCATGGAAGCTAATTGGTTGACTTCGGACCAATCTCTGCCTGAAAGCCCAACCTTGCACCGTTCGTGTAGGGAAAACCAAGAAGAGGGAACACTATGGAGGCTGCCTTCAACTTCTCTACAAAAGGCTGTATATTGCTCAATAAATAAATACAACTGAAGAATTTTATGCTAAAAATTTTCCCTATAGCTTTCCTTCTAGAATGACCTGAAGCCTCCCAAATCATCTAAGAAAAAGAATGGGGTTTCTTTGTGCATGTGTGTCTATGTGGTGGTGGTGGTGAGGTAATTTTTGCAAACTAGCTTTTAACTTTTTTAAAAAAAATGTCTTTCCTCTATATTTTTGAGGCAGCTTGTAGCAGTATCAAGGCAGCAGACGTGACCTTTTTGAGAAGCTGGAAGGAGGGAGGAAAGCTTCAGTATAATTGCTCGTAGTATGGCAAAGGACTGTGTTTTTAACCCTAGTTTGAGGAAGTGGGGATAGAAGTGTGACATTTGTGGGCAAATGGGCTGCAGAGATAGAATTTTGGCACAGCCCCTGGAGGACAGCAGAAAAGCATGTGATTTAACCTGGAGAATCCCAGGTTTGAGATAACATGCTGTAAAGTGCATGGTCTATTCTAATGTTTCTCAACCTTGGTAGTTAAGACATGTGGGCTAAGCAATGCTGGCTGGGGAATTGTGGGAGTTGAAGTCTTAAATTTGCCAAATTTGAAAAACAGTGCGCTCTTCCCTGGATAGGAAGGATATAGTTCCACCACATATCATTGTGTGTGTGAGTGTGACAGCCTCCATTTTGCCATAAGAATTTTTCTCATGCTGGCTAGAACATCTTTGAGGGGCTGGGGTGGGCGTGGCCTGACTGGGTGGGTGTGGCCGGGGTGGCACGTGCCAGTCCCTCGCTGTTCCGGGATGACCCCGCAGGACAACTCTGGGCCTATTGTGGGCCGGATCCAGCTCGCAGGCCGCATGGTGTTTTTTTTTTTTTTTTTTCATTTTTGAATATTTTATTTTTAAGAAATTATAATAATACAGTTTTTGTCCATCCGGTTACATAGTATAGGAAAAGGAAATAAATAAGAATACAGATGTATGTACATATAGATAATCTTTGCTACTCAATTACATAGTATATAAATATGTGCTTATACTGATATATGCCTATATCATTCTTAATGTATATATATATAATAGGTCTTTAAAGGTAAATTAATAAATTCATAAGTCATATCTTTTGCTTACCTATATAACCTTTCCTTACTTCATTTTACTTTCTACAATCTGCGGTACATCTTCTCTTACTATGTCATTTGACTATTTCTTGTACTCAATCAAATCTCTTCCATTTTTTTTTTTATTTCATTTTCCTCTTCTCTAACCACCCGT